CTGAAAGCTGAGGTTGTTCTGAAAAAAGGAGCAGAGTTACAAACATTTTACACTTTTATTACAATTTTAAAGCCATGAAACAAAACAAAAAAATACTTGTTATATTTATGGTTATAAGAGGGTTAACCGTGATAAATTTTCTGCCTCCCACAAACAGATGGTGAAAGTGAATGTGAGCATAATTATGTACATTTTATTACTTTATTATGTTTTTTTTATTGACCATTACTCCAAAGAGTTCAAATGAAGGCAACTGGACTTCTTTGGTTTCTTTAAAACATTTCACTTCTCCTATGAGGAGCTTTGTCGGTTCTAACTGGAATATGGGAGAGTCAAGCTTGTAAGCTGTAGCTGTCTGTTGTTATTTAAAGAGCAGAAACTACTCTGAGTACCCCGCCTCTCCATCTCCTGATGAGTCGTTAGCCTCTACTGATGGTGAGTCATCGTGTTGATTAGATGCAGGAAGGTGTGACCTAGACTGAAACTGAATGAGATTCAAAGCTGCATTATTGGTACTGGAAAGGTGAAATCTAAGCCCCTCCCCTATTTAAAGTGGGGGTTTCACCAGTGGTGGCTGGTGAAAAATATTTTTGGTGGGGCTGTGCTATTTTTTTTTAAACAAACTTGTGCTTTCTGAGCTTTGTGCACAACTTCACTATTTCCTGAATTAAGCACAGCTCTTTTATTTCCTGTCTTACATTATTGGACAAAGGGATTAATCCACGTGTGTCTGACTATTGGCACGCTGCCTTGCGGACCTAGGTTGAAAAATACTGCATTAAATTGCACATAAAATAACATGACCATAAATGGTCCACATCCACATTACTGTTTGTGAAACTAACATACTGGAGAATTTCATCACAATAATATTAAATAAACAAGTATGTACCTGATCTTTTGCATACTGTTGGTGAAGCTCTGGATGACCCCTGTGATGGAGACAGAGTCAATGGTCCTCTTCTGCAGCTGGTTGAACAGCATGTCCACATGTGGCATGATCTTGTGACACAATGCCAGCAGAAAGCCAAAATCTTCTTCCTCCAGCATTCTCACAAAGCCTCCTGCCTCTCTCTCAGTGACTGGATCAAAGTCATCCGAGTCTCTGATCATCTGGAAAAATCTGAGAAGGCCATCCTTGTGCTCATACACTGTGTTGACAACTCTCTCTTGGACAAAATGTGCCGGTTCTGATCCACTTCTTCATTGTGTTTATTCACTGCAAGCCTGCGTCCCTCGTCTCGAGCTGCATGGCTATGTTAGCTCTGCCTAGCATAGCTAGCTTCACTGTGTTGTCCATGTGCACCCGGGATAACTCATGTTTCTTCACCTTCTCAGAAAAATGTTTCATGTCCGTAACTCCTGACTCAATCCATGCCTCATCTGTCACAGTCGTTTGGAAAGCAAAATAACGCATTAGCGTGATTGCATCCAGCTGGCCAAGCCTTCCCAGAAGCCTCGTGTGTACAGTTTACCTCTCTCCTCCTCCTGCTGGCTTATCTTTACGTCGGGCTGATCTGGTCCAAGCTCTTTGACATTTAGTTTTTCCATCATAGTTCTCCTCTCGAACGGATACTGGAGAAGAGACCGAACTGAATTCAGTGGCTGCTGAGATCCGGTATCCATGCTGCTGCTGGTTGTAGGCGCACTGGCGTCCATGTCTATTACGTCTGCATCACGACCGTCACGAGTCACGACCAAAAACGTGCTGGAGTCGAGAGTCTCCGAGTTCTACCGAGCACTAACGAAAGCCTTTGGCGGTAGCTCTATCGCCCATCATGCTTCTGAAACAACGTCGACGCTGATTGGATACATTCCCATTCCTACCCTTTGATTTTCTTGTCAGCAATTGGACGACTGGTCTCGTCCCGTTTGGGCGATTGAAACACAACCCACAGCCTCCACTGCTCGGCAGAGACCGGCAGAGACCAATATAGAAATATATATATATGATTTATTTTTGTTACAAAACACACAATTAACTTAGAATATGTGATTATTGTTAATTTTATTTATTATTTTTTTTAATAAAAATTAAAAACACTGGGGAAACTGGGAGGGCGGCGCCCTATCGCCCTCTACTGGCCAGCCGCCACTGGGTTTCACGTTTTGACATAGATAGCTTTTACTCCTCTCCCCATCTATCTTCTCTGTCCAGAATGTGGACTTTGTCATCTTCAAAGGTGTGTCCCTTGTCCTTCAGGTGAAGGTGGACTGCAGAGTTTTGACCTGAAGAGGTGGCTCTCATGTGTTGTGTTATGTTCTTGTGTAATTGTTGTTTAGTTTCTCTAATGTAAACATCTGGACAGTGCTCCTACACTGGACTGCATAAACGACCCCACTGAGCTTCTGTTTGGGTGTTTTGTCTTCTGGATGGACCAGGTTCTGTCTGAGGGTGCTGTTGGGTTAAAGTTTACCGGGATGTTGTGTTTGGAGAAGATTCTTCTAAGTTTCTCTGAGACTCCTGCCACGTATGTGATGACGGTGCCTTTGTGTAAAGGATGTTGTTGTTAGGTTGGTAGCAGAGCTCTCATGTTTAGTGTTAAGTTCAGTGAGATCATGGAATGGGATCAAGAATTTTCTACTGACAGGAAAAAGATCTCAGCTAACATAGCTGTAGATCACACTGGATAAGTCTTTGTGGTTGCATTTATTTTACATTTATTTTACTACCTCTTACTGGAGCTGCCTGTAGTAAGCACAAAATATCTTTGGTTGTACACCTGTGCAATAGCAATAAAGTATTTTGATTTCTGTTAAATGTACTTCCTGAATGAGTGACCTTTTCAGGCTAAAACAACAAAATGACAAATACAGACAGAAGGATGACTTCTTTCTTCTTTTATAATGTGTTGCATCACCACCTGGTATCAGAACAGGACTCAGTATTGGAAGATAATCAAAAATCAAACAACTTGGACTCGGATCAGGGGCAGAAATGTGGTTGTAACATCTCTAGATATAAGTCAGCTTTATAAACTAAAACTGTTATTTATGAACTAACATTAACACTAATGACACTAATTTATATATTTTTATTATGTTGTTTGAACCCAAGGGTTTCATTATTTGAATTTTCTAACTTGTTGGATTGCTCTATTAAGTGCCCCTTTTTTTACTTTGAGTACCCGCCCCGTCAAAGGTCTCTGCACGGCCCTGAAGAAGATACATATTTGGTTTGTAAACAAGATATTTAGGTAAATAGTTAAATATTTCGTTTGGATGCTAAACATATATTTAAGAAGGCAAATATTTAGTTTGCAATCAAAGTATTTATTTAAAAAGTTAAATATTTAGTTTGGATGATAAATATTTACTTAAAGTTAAATATTTAGTTAAGAAGGTAAGAATTTCATTTGTAAACAAAATATTTCATAATTAATTATTAATAATGAATTATTTTTCAGAACAAATTTTCAGAAATGTATGGTAGAATTAAATACAAATAATCATAAGTTAGTTTTTGTGGAGACTTTAATATAGATATTCTAAATGCACACAATCATACACAAATAATTTATTAATTTTGTGTTTTGTTAAAGATTCCGTCCAACAATTACACACCCTAACAGGATAGCTATAAATACTGCAACTCATATTAACAACATATTAACAAATAGTTACAGAAGTAAATACTGAATATGATGTCAGCATTTTCCCCACATTTTCTAGATACTGCACCTGTACGATCTCTAAAAAGACCTCAGATGGTAAATTAAGTAATTTTATCTCACCTTTCTCTGTCTCCTTTCTTTTTTAAATGTATTGTAAAAATATTTCCTAGTTGGTGTGGTGATAAAACTGTTTATGAAAATTTCCATAAATGTATTTTTATATTAATATTCATTATTGATTAATAGTTCTCTCTGTTTTAATGTCAGGTTTCTACCAAGTGTTAAACATTGTTGGGGTGTTACCTTAATCAAGTGGTCTTTTTTCCTTTTTACTTAGTACTTTTTAGAATACCAGGACAGGAAGGATGGTGTAGGTTTACGTTTGTTAGATTGATGCATAAATATTACCAACAAGAAAGTGTACGTTGGTGTGTGTCAGAAACAGTGTAAGGCTTAATGTCTTTTCCCAAAAAACCAGGTGATAGGCCGGTCTCCAGTTAAAATGCCCGGGCTGAATTTTTGTCCCAGTCCAGACCTGGATGCAACATCATGTCAAACTCCGCGATATCCCCAAACTCGTTTTTACCTGCATTCATGCATTTTCCTGCCTCACTGAATCTAGTCTCGGTTCGGAAACCTGAATATTGCATGGATATTCTTACAAATTACTTCGTAGAAATAAAAACTATGTGTGTTTTAAAAGATGTGTGTTACGGTTATTTGTAGCAGAATTGGTAGTCTAGAGGTTAGAGTAACAGACTGCCATGCAGTTATGCACAGGTTTGCCTCCAAGTGGCAGCAGTAACTTTTTTTAGCTACACTTGCCAGTATGAAGTTTTCATTGTACCTACATTTGCTCTCAATGTTTAAAAATAGCCTGATCTGGCTCCTTTCACCTTAAAGGAGACATAACATGAAAAACCCACTTTTTTATCCATTAACACAGCGTGTTTCACATTTTAAGTGTCTAAGTGAGCAAAAAGGCTTATATTATTCACTGGAGTTGCTATTTAGATATTTAATAATTAAGTTTTGGGCATATCTGTCCACCCGTTCAGTTTTTCAAATTATCTATTACATCAGTAATTTATTTCGTCAGGATAACTTCCAAATATGGTAATGGCCCTCGGCTAAACACAGAGCCAATCCACCATTTTTTCTTCTCGCTAAGATTTTTTGTAGTCCTATAGGAAAAATGCAGAATGTCTGGTTATTTTAGCCACACACAGCTCAAAACTGTTCCTCGTTTTAAGGAAGGGTGGTGTGGCAGTATTTAAACCCAGGAGCTGATGACACTACTGCTAAAAAAACACAGAAGAAAAAGTAGTTTGTGTGTGTGTGTGTGTGTGTGTGTGTGTGTGTGTGTGTGTGTGTGTGTGTGTGTGTGTGTGTGTGTGTGCGCGCGCGCGTGGTTCGTTCTTTCGTGTCTCCAGGCTAGTAAGTACTGAGGGCTTCATCTATCTAAAAGGAGTCATTTCCATCTGAATGTGGCAGCGACGGGACACAGCAGCAGAGCGGTAAGCTTCATGTCACTCTAAAATGTCGACAAACTTTACTTTAGATTTACGGGCATTAGCAGCACTAAAGCGTTAGCATCCAGCTTGCTATCGCTAGCACAGTATGCTAGTAAAGTTAGCACCCAGATTAATGTGGATTTGGCTGATTTTCGTGGAATAAAACGTGATTTCTGATCAACGCCTTCTTTTACACCAGATGATGACCTCCCACTGATTGTAACAGCAGAGAGCCTGTGTGTTATTCTACGTGAGTGTGATGTAATCTTAGCATCCAGTAAATAAAGTCCCATATCAGCTAAAATGCAGCGTGACAAAGTCGTTAAAGTGCGTCAACACAGTGGATTTAATAGAGTTTTAAAGAACGATTTCTGAGTGAAGTGAGGTTAGTTTTTTGTCTCACTGCAGATATAAAAACTAACTCTGCATCAGTCAGACGCAGCAAAGCTCACCGTCTGTATGAGCGTGAGCATCGGAAAGCTGATAAAATCGGCTGTAAAATAATTAAAACAAAGTAAAAATGCTCCTTTGCTTTTTAGAGTCAACATCCAGAAGGCTGGAGCCGTGTTTCACTGACAGGCTGTCAGACTAATGCCCTGATGAGCTCAGCTGGGACAAACTGGTCTGATGTTTAGGTAAGTGAAGATCTGCTTCTCCAAGTCCTTGAGATGCTAGTAAAAATAATTTAGCCAGCTTGCTAATGTTACTTTTCTTCTCCTCTAAGGAACACAGAACGTTCAGATGTTGGAGCTTCATGTCACCTACTGAGGAAGGAGACCCACCAGTAAAGAGACGGTCTGGACCAGACCAAAGTGAGTGACGACACACTTCAGCCACCCTCATCATTAGGAACACCTCACCCCCTGTATCACTCCGTCTGATGACAGCAGAGTGATTTATTTGATGTTTTACTTGTTTAGTCTGTTTAGAAATTATTGAATTACATTATTTTCTGTAATCGACCATCTGATCTGGATGTGTGCAGAATAACTTTCCCCAAATTCAGCAGCAGCTGGCCTACAAAAACAGCTGCAGCATGTAGTAAGTCTGTCTGCACTGCTCTCTAATGAGCTTCCTTTCATAAGGAATCATTTGTTTAATTTTAGTGTCACTATTTTATTACATTTGTAAGAATATAAAGTCACTGCAGCAACACAAACGTGACTATAAACATGAAAGCTAAAGAACCAACTTTCCTAAAGCTGCTTGTAAACAAAATATGTCACTAATGTTATTGTCTATCATTGCAGAATATGGCGATGACATCATGGAACTGGTCTCTGGAAAAGTTTTCCCTGAACCAACTCCGTTTCTAGATGAGGTAGAGAAGATCTGCATCTCACCAACCCTCTGGTCTCAGTGTTCAGACAACGGAGGTCTCCCACTGTTATCCAGGACCAGTTTGAAGCCCACATACTGCCCCTCCCTCATCATCAGGAAACATCAGTTCCTATCCTGAGGACAACAGAAGACGGCAGGAGGACAGGAACTCTGAGACCTAGATACCACCAGCACCGGGACACAAAGCACCTGTGTGCACAACGCCCTGTTTAACTACTAAAACCTGTTTATTATATTGTTCTACTTATTTGCTGTGAGGTTATTACTTAGAAAATTTGTATATTAATGTAAACAATTAAAAAAATCACTGATTGTATGTTTTCTTTTAGATGTAATGGTCCAAACTCAGCCTTGTAGACATTTATTGCATCCTGTAGGTAAATACACAGAACAGGCTCAGGTCCAGGATGACCCAGCATGCTCTTCTTCCATTCTGGCTGTTAGGGATTGTATCAATAACTCAATGCCTACTGATGTTTTCACCTAACGGTATTTATTTAGAATGCAGGTAAGATTTAACTATATTTGTTAGCAAAGCAGACTGATCTTGGGAATTTCACTGCAGCACTGATGTCCACCTCTCTGTACACATTAGAGAGAATTACCACGTTACAGCTAAATGCATATTTAATAAAGATATAGGCTACACATTGCAGACAATAAAAACAAAGTTGTAAGCATTAGAATTATAATGATCACATTAAAGAACATTTGGAGGAATGTTCTTTATTTTTGACTAGAATCTCAAATCTTTAAATTAAAATGTAACTGCTTTTTATCCATTTTCAGCCATTAAGACACCCAATATAAAAAAGACTACTTATAAAATTATTTATAATTATATGTATGTATGTATATATATAGATAGAGATCTTAATAAAATATATTCTTTTAATGGTGTTTTAATGAGCTGTATAATTTTTTATAGAAATAAATAAGCAAGCAGCATTCCTTGTGTGTGTGTGTGTGTGTGTGTGCGCGCGCGCGTGCCTGCTCGCTTGTCCTTCCGTCGGCCGTGATGGGTGTGTGTGTGACTACAGACAAATGCATGAGAGTTAGCAGCCTTGAAACAGCTTGATGAACAACTCTCCCCACATGTTTTAAAAATGCTAATATGCTATGCTAAATAATGATTTCTCTATAGAACTACAAAGTCCGACTGGGGGAGGAGAGTACAGATCTGCACTATGGGGGGGGTGGAGTTTATAGCTCCTCCTCCAGTTTAAAGAGACAGTACCCAAAAACGGCTCGTTCTCAAGACTCTCCTCAGAACAGGGGTAGATGAGGGTCTGTAGAGCAACAATAATGAGGAAATCAGACCAAAGAACTGCAGTTCCACTGTATTTAGACCCCAACTGAAGGATTTAGATGTAAAAAGGAATAATTTAAAAGCATGTTATGTCTCCTTTAAGGTTCAACCCATGTTTTACACCACAACTGCAGGGCTGCCGGCTCTGACACATTGGGTGTGAGACACGCACATTTGACCGTCTGCACACGCTCTCATGCCAAGCCTCCAATATCTCACGCTAATTAATCAACCCCCCCCCCACACTCTCTCTCTCTCTCTCTCTCTCTCTCTCTCTCTCTCTCTCTCTCTCTCTCTCTCTCTCTCTCTCTCTCTCTCTCTCTCTCTCTCTCTCTCTCTCTCTCTCTCTCTCTCTCTCTCTCTCTCTCTCTCTCTCTCTCTCTCTCTCTCTCTCTCTCTCTCTCTCTCTCTCTCTCTCTCTCTCTCTCTCTCTCTCTCTCTCTCTCTCTCTCTCTCTCTCAAATGTTCAAAAGTTGAGAGCCCTGGGACTGAGCTCTGAGATTGGTTGCGGCCAGACAACCTTGCAAAGCTGGAAACTCCCTGGATGATGCACAAAAGGTCTTTAAGAAAAGTAACCCATTTGCCTTGGTACGAGTTCAGGATTACAATGCCCTGCATGACTTAAAAACTTCACTTGCACTCCTACATTCACCTTTAACACACATAATTACACAGTTCAAACATTTGTTTTAGTGGATTTATGAAGAAATGAACTGGCTTGCAAGTTTTCTATTAAATGAGGAAATGGATCAGATTCCATCCATGCAAAAACGTGACAAACAGATGCATCTAGAATTAATCTCAACACTGCATTAGGACAGGGCTGTTCTACTGATCTAACTGCAGCATCTCTGAATAAAAACAAATCACTTTATCTGCACAACCCTAATGTACACCATATCTCAGCCAGCCTTAGATGGATTATGTCTCCTCTCTCCTACAGGAAAACACGGGTGTATGTAATGGATAAATAGAGCTTTTCACAGTGGAAGTCTATGGGGGACTGGACTGAGACGACCACAAAAACGTCTAAATGCAAATCTTATGTGATTGCATGGCCAATTCTTGAGTAGTGCAGCGGTGTTGTCAGCTTTCACATCTGTGGTGACTCTCACGTTTAGTGAGTGTGGCTGTCGTTAGACAAAAGGTGCCTTCAGACCCAACAACGGTTTCCATGCAGTACGAAGAAGACAGATTTAGAATTCATTAGCACCTGCCACTCACACTTTGTTCCACTCATTTGAATAAAAATTCACATGTTTAAAAATCAATACAGGGCTAATCTCTCTCAAAGGATCCCACTCTGCCATCTGAATCTGTGATATGGAAATAAACTTGCTCACCAGTTAATTGATGAATGGTTTATTTGAGATTGTGTGGTTTGAAAATAATCTGTCCAAGTTTGTCTGTCGGTGAAAAGACAATTCAGGTCTCTATCTAAAACTTGGTGAGCAAACATGAATAATTCATGATTTCCACAATAAAATATTGACCAACAGGAGGATTAGTTATTTTCTGCAGAAGTTATTATCTCACAAGGCATTTTGGATGGTGTGCTGAAATAAAATAAATTATAATTCTATTAAATAAAATCCATGAATATGTCTCACTCAAACAGGCTGTCGCACACCTATTATAATAAATGTCTGTGCAACACCATAACTCTTTGCACAACATTAAATTGTACTAAACCAGTGCATTATATAAGATAATGCATTAAACCGGTTTGTTTTCTCACAGCATCGAGGCTGTGTGCTGTATTTTATAATTACACAGCTACATTAAAACTTTAAAATGAATATAAAGCTGAAAAATATGCAATCACCCTGAATTCATTATGAGATAAACTCATGAATAGGTTTTACCCTGTTAAACATGACATTAGATTAACAGAAATGGACATTTTCCTGCCTCGACCCGCGACCCTGCATGAACAAGTGGATATAGAAAATGGATTGACAGGTAGTTTGTTGACTGGGTTAACCATTGTTTGCAACCCAGAGATAGCCAGGAATAGTAATAAAAATAAATGTTGGGAAAATCTGCTGTCAGAATTTAGAAAACATACTGTATATGTATTTCTGTGTGAAGTATTGTAAAGATATACGTAAATAAATGAGCATTGATTTTATTGCTTTGTCTTTAGTGTAGTTCTTAGTTGAATAGATTCTCTTGAAGCTAAAATCCTCAGAGTGTTTCTTTTGACCACAGAAAAAGAGGAGTCAAATGCAGATGATGAAATACATTGTAATTGTGAACTCAAGCATCCTATAGGAAGACGAGCCACATGAAAGGAATTGTTTTATATGGGATCTGATTGGAAATAATGCACGCCTGAGCTAAAACTGACAAGACTTTGGTCTGAGGCACAAAAGAATTAAACAGAACATGTTTTGTTGAACAAATTCATACAGAGATACTGTCAACAAGAGACTTGATGAAATAGTTGCTATTCGATCAACGATTTTAGACGGATCATGTTCACGTTATTGTTTTGTCTTTGCTTTTAGACTCACTGATACTTTATTTCTATTCATGCTTGAGGCCAAACTATGTTCCTTTGTTTGGCTGATGTGGAACCACAGGGAGAATCTGACCTCATCAGCAAGGATGCAGAGCACCTACTGTCACACCTCTGAGGTTGTCTCAGCAGCTAAATGTAAACTGCACTCATTTTCTACTCATCCAATATTCTAACAGCATAAACCGCCCTAGACACCATTCATGAAAAGATTTGCTGTTATGATGCTGCTTGGAAAACGCTTTTAATGATGCATGAAAAAAAGTCAGTTACATGAACCGCCCAAGTGTTACATGTTAGACACACGTGTTGTTGATATTGACAGATTGATGTTTATTTTTAAACAGCTGGTTGTAAGATGTTTGGTCATCAGTGATGTAATGAGATACTGTGTCATTTGATGCATGACTGGTTATCTAATTACAACTTTGTGTTTCGCTCACTCATTGATTTCTTACCTCCTGTCACTTGTCACTAACGTTTATCTATAATCTTCTACATAAAAGATGGACTGTATAAAAAACGACCTGACAGCAAGGCAATCGGGTTGTATAAATTATTTTACGTGCAATCTGTGCCAAAGGAAACATAGGAATGGCCTTCACCAAGGTTGGTGTAGATCAGGAATTTTCTATTCCGGGCCTGGAGGGCTGGATATTGTTGTAGTTTTTAACTCTTCTTCAAAACACCTGATTTCAGCCAGCAGGTGATTAACAGGTTTCTGCAAAGCCTGATGAGCTGCTGCACAGGTGATTCAACCACTGAATCAAGTGTGTTGGAGCAGAGAAACCATTAAGACATGTTGGACACTAGGGATTTAAGAAAATATCGATATGGCAACATATTGTGATTTTTTTCCTGTGATATTATATCTATATTCAAAAGCCGTGTATCTAATTTTTGGAAGAATTTAAATGCAAATATTTGTGTATTTTCTTTTCTTTTGGTGCAATTTAAATGCCGACTGCTAGTTAGCAGTAGTGTGCAATGTGTTTTGTTTCCACCATTGAAATGTAAATCCCTCTGTAATGGTTCTGATACCTCATGTTAAACATGTTATGTATCAGTTTGGACTTTATTGAATTTTCCTACAGTAATTTCAGTCAAAAAATTGCTAATATTGTCTGACTGAATGTATCGCAATATATTGTGATACATTGTATTGTACAATTCCAACAGGGTCAATTTTCACCAATGTATTGACCAACACAATAACCTTTCATATACAGAAATAAATCCACTTTCTACTTGGCCTTCCAAACCCAGAAGGTTCTGCTCAGTGCTTATTGACGTACCAGAAGACAAAACACTGGAGGCAATACATTCTCCCAAGGTTGTGCACTCTCTACGTAAAAGCCAGCATTCTTCACTCTGAAGAAAGTGAAGCTTCCCTGATTTTACAGTTATGAGTTAAATAATCATATGTGATGAATGAACAAGATGTTTAAATCAAATGTTTGAATGACCTGTGCTTAAATCAGTGAATTTGAAATGAATATTGTTCTTACAATGATCCATTTATATCACAAATACGGTGGGCGACGGTGGTACAGGAGTTAAGTGCTTGCCCCATAATTGGAAGGTTGCAGGTTCGAGCCCCACTCAGTCTGTTGCTGTCGTTGTATCCTTGGGCAAGACACTTAACCCACGTTGCCTGCTGGTGGTGGTCGGAGGGACCGGTGGCGCCTGTGCTTGGCAGCCTCGCCTCTGTCAGCGCACACCAGGGCAGCTGTGGCTACATCGTTGCTCATCCCCACGAGTGTGTGAATGTGTGTGTGAATGACTGATTGTGTTGTAAAGCACCTTGGGGGGTTCCAGGACTCTAGAAGTCGCTACATCAAATTCATCAAATATATCAAATATGGGCCATTTACCATTTACAAATCAAATCAATACAAATGTTTGATTTAACAAGTTAATCATTGTTTACACTCATACACATTACAATAAGATACTCATTAAAGTTAATATGCACCTCACATAAGAGTTTTAAAGATTCTTATTCACAGTGTTAAGAAATCTTTGTATTTGAGGAGGGCATGGCTTTCTGAGGGATGTTGGTAAATACCAGAAACGTGACAAATTCTGATTTGCCAAACTTGCCCAAAACTCATAACATTGTGGTTTAATAAAACAAGAATTACTTCCCGATTAATTCTGTTTCCAGCTGACTCCCAATTCAGCCAAATAGGGAAAGAAGCATCTCTTTTGAAACCATCTTCTCCTTAAAGGAGACATAACATGAAAAACCCACTTTTTTATCCATTAACACAGTGTGTTTCACATTTTAAGTGTCTAAGTGAGCAAAAAGGCTTATATTATTCACTGGAGTTGCTATTTAGATATTTAATAATTAAGTTTTGGGCATATTTGTCCACCCGTTCAGTTTTTCAAATTATCTGTTACATCAGTAATTTATTTCGTCAGGATAACTACCAAATATGGTAATGGCCCTCGGCTAAACACAGAGCCAATCCGCCATTTTTTCTTCTCGCTAAGATTTTTTGTAGTCCTATTGGAAAAATGCAGAATGTCTGGTTATTTTAGCCACACACAGCTCAAAACTGTTCCTCGTTTTAAGGAAGGGTGGTGTGGCAGTATTTAAACCCAGGAGCTGATGACACTACCTGCTAAAAAAACACAGAAGAAAAAGTAGTGTGTGTGTGTGTGTGTGTGTGTGTGCGCGCGCGCGCGCGCTTGGTTCGTTCGTTCGTGTCTCCAGGCTAGTAAGTACTGAGGGCTTCATCTATCTAAAAGGAGTCATTTCCATCTGAATGTGGCAGCAACGGGACACAGCAGCAGAGCGGTAAGCTTCATATCACTCTAAAATGTTGACAAACTTTACTTTAGATTTACGGGCATTAGCAGCACTAAAGCGTTAGCATCCGGCTTGCTATCGCTAGCACAGTATGCTAGTAAAGTTAGCACCCAGATTAATGTGGATTTGGCTGATTTTCGTGGAATAAAACGTGATTTCTGATCAACGCCTTCTTTTACACCAGATGATAACCTCCCACTGATTGTAGCAGCAGAGAGCCTGTGTGTTATTCTATGTGAGTGTGATGTAATCTTAGCATCCAGTAAATAAAGTCCCATATCAGCTAAAATGAAGCGTGACAGTCATTAAAGTGTGTCAACACAGTGGATTTAATAGAGTTTTAAAGAACGATCTCTGAGTGAAGTGAGCAGGGCTGTTGCTAGCTATTTTGGTGCCCTAAGCACAAAGGCTTTGTGGTGCCCCCCCCCCCCCCCCCACACCCACACACACATACAGAAAAAACAACACAATAACACAGTATGTGCAAGCGCTTCACCTTAAATTTTCTTTAATTCTCTTGTATGCACAAACTGCTTATTATTTTCCAAAAAGTAGGATTGATATTTTGTGTGTGTGTGTGTGTGGGGGGGGGGGTCATTTTGCCTTGGCCCCCAAAATGTCTTGAAACGGCCCTGGGTGTGTGACTGAGTTTTGAAGGTGATCTGAATTGTATCAGATGTATAAATATTGCATGTGTGTAACTTATTGTTTTATACAGGTAGAAACGTGTAGTGGAGATAAATCTACATTTTACTTTTCAACACTTTGTTTTGTTTTCTTGTTTTTATTTAACTATTTTCCTGTCCTGTCTGTCTCTCATCTTCCTGCATCTCCTCTAAACTCTCCAGAAAATCTGCTGCCTGGATTCTTACTTTTTCACCTCATCAGTTACTTCTGAGCAGATCAAAGGGATCTCCTGACCGCAAAGCGGAGTGCGCGATTCGATGCTGCGTCAGTGAGGTGAAATCACTGCAGTGCAGGTGATGAGCTCTGCAGTAGCGGAGCGCCAGGCACAAATAAGACAGAAAGTGGAGAACATGAGCGGACATGAACGATCGTGTGCTAATTATAGTTTTTTTGGTTGCGACACTTTGAGAATGGACCGTGCGCTGGAAGCAGCTGCCTGGATCGCTGCGCAATAACGCGCTGTGCCGCTCTCTGTGCTCTCTGCTCAGAAGAGTCCATAAATGATGTAATATAGGTAGAAAACTTTTTTCCGGCTCCCCTGGATGTGTAGGACATACAACTCCCCCATAATTCGATCCCTGCTCCTGGATGAAGAGCCGGACATTTTCATCAATAAGAACCCCCAGTCCGGACGTCCCGGACAGAGTGAAAAGTGGACACGGTCCATCTCCTTTCCTTTTTGTATTGTTTTCTCTCTGTAAACATGCTGTTAACTTGCTTTGCACATCTTCTAATTGAAATCTGTCTTTATCATATATATATATTATTTTTCATAAGCTTGCGTTTGGTGCCCCTTCCCCAGCGTGGTGCCCTACGCGCTGTGCGTGGTGTGCGTGTGTGGAGCGCCGGCGCTGGAAGTGAGGTTAGTTTTTTGTGTCACTGCAGATATAAAAACTAACTCTGCATCAGTCAGACGCAGCAAAGCTCACCGTCTGTATGAGCGTGAGCATCGGAAAGCTGATCAAATTGGCTGTAAAATAATTAAAACAAAAGTAAAAATGCTCCTTTGCTTTTTAGAGTCAACATCCAGAAGGCTGGAGCCGTGTTTCACTGACAGGCTGTCAGACTAATGCCCTGATGAGCTCAGCTGGGACAAACTGGTCTGATGTTTAGGTAAGTGAAGATCTGCTTCTCCAAGGCCTTGAGATGCTAGTAAAAATAATTTAGCCAGCTTGCTAATGTTACTTTTCTTCTCCTCTAAGGAACACAGAACGTTCAGATGTTGGAGCTTCATGTCACCTACTGAGGAAGGAGACCCACCAGTAAAGAGACGGTCTGGACCAGACCAAAGTGAGTGATGACACACTTCAGCCACCCTCATCATTAAGAACACCTCACCCCCTGTATCACTCCGTCTGATGACAGCAGAGTGATTTATTTGATGTTTTACTTGTTTAGTCTGTTTAGAAATTATTGAATTACATTATTTTCTGTAAACAACCATCTGATCTGGACGTGTACAGAATAACTTTCCCCAAGTTCAGCAGCAGCTGGCCTACAAAAACAGCTGCAGCATGTAGTAAGTCTGTCTGCACTGCTCTCTAATGAGCTTCCTTTCATAAGGAGTCATTTGTATAATTTTAGTGTCACTATTTTATTACATTTGTAAGAATATGAAGTCACTGCAGCAACACAAACGTGACTATAAACATGAAAGCTAAAGAAACAACTTTCCTAAAGCTGCTTGTAAACAAAATATGTCATTAAAGTTATTGTCTATCATTGCAGAATATGGCGATGACATCATGTAACTGGTCTCTGGAAAAGTTTTCCCTGAACCAACTCCGTTTCTAGATGAGGTAGAGAAGATCTGCATCTCACCAACTCTCTGGTCTCAGTACTCAGACAACGGAGGTCTCCCACTGTTATCCAGGACCAGTTTGAAGCCCACATACTGCCCCTCCCTCATCATCAGGAAACATCAATCCGTATCCTGAGGACAACAGAAGACGGCAGGAGGACAGGAACTCTGAGACCTAGATACCACAGCACCGAGACACAAAGCACCTGTGTGCACAACGCCTGTTTAACTACTAAAACCTGTTTATTATATTGTTCCACTTATTTGCTGTGAGGTTAATACTAAGAAAATATGTATATTAATGTAAACAATTAAAAAAATCACTGATTGTATGTTTTCTTTTAGATGTAATGGTCCAAACTCAGCCTTGTAGACATTTATTGCATCCTGTAGGTAAATACACAGAACAGGCTCAGATCCAGGATGGCCCAGCATGCTCTTCTTCCATTCTGGCTGTTAGGGATTGTATCAATAACTCAATGCCTACTGATGTTTCCACCTAACGGTATTTATTTAGAATGCAGGTAAGATTTAACTATATTTGTTAGCAAAGCAGACTGATCTTGGGAATTTCACTGCAGCACTGATGTCCACCTCTGTGTACACATTAGAGAATTACCATGTTACAGCTAAATGCACATTTAATAAAGATATAGGCTACGCATTGCAGACAATAGAAACAAAGTTGTAAGCATTAGAATTATAATGATCACATTAAAGAACATTTGGAGGAATGTTATTTATTTTTGACTAGAATCTCAAATCTTTAAATTAAAATGTAACTGCTTTTTATCCATTTTCAGCCATTAAGACACCCAATATAAAATAAGACTACTTATAAAATTATTTATAATTATATGTATGTACTGTATATATATAGATAGAGATTTTAATAAAATATATTCTTTTAATGGTGTTTTAATGAGCTGTATCATTTTTTAAAACATTTTTTATAGAAATAAATAAGCAAGCAGCATTCCTTGTGTGAGTGTATGTACAGTCTATGGCCGTGACGGATGTGTGTGTGTGTGTGTGTGTGTGTGTGTGCACGCGCGCACGTGCCTGCTCGCTTGTCCTCCGTCGGCCGTGACGGGTGTGTGTGAGTGACTACAGACAAATGCATGAGAGAGTTAGCAGCCTTGAAACAGATTGATGAACTACTCTCCCCACGTTTTAAAAATGCTAATATGCTATGCTAAATCTGCTATGCTAAATAATGATTTCTCTATAGAACTACAAAGTCCGACTGGGGGAGGAGAGTACAGGTCTGCACTATGGAGGGGGGCGGAGTTTACAGCTCCTCCTCCAGTTTAAAGAGACAGTACCCAAAAACGGCTCGTTCTCAAGACTCTCCTCAGAACAGGGGTAAATGAGGGTCTGTAGAGCAACAATAATGAGGAAATCAGACCAAAGAACTGCAGTTCCACTGTATTTAGACCCCAACTGAAGGATTTAGATGTAAAAAGGAATAACTTAAAAGCATGTTATGTCTCAAAAGCCTCTCTGCAACGCTGATACCAGACAACCAGCTCTTCTAAGAGCCAAGCAAACATCAGCCCTAAGCATTCCAGCTTCCTGCCGTCACCTCAAGGGATCTCAGACTGGACGGGTCCTATCAGAACCGTCTACGGGTTCCTGATATCAGAGGTTCACTCCACCAGCAGTGACCTGTGAATTTCACCAATACACATCCTTATTGGATGCTGACCTTCCAGGGCCAGAATTAAATACCACTGGTCTAGATACTTGGAATTTGGAGACAACATTTATGAAAGCCTGAAAAGAGAAAAACAAGCCATTCCTAGTTTACCTGCCCAAAGAAAATCAGCTGAATTGAGTTATTTATGTTGTGGTGTTCAGTTTGTTTTTTCTTTAGGACAAGATGTTTGAACAGAGGTGTGACCAATTCATTCCTTTGCAAGTCACAAGTCTTTCCAGTCAAGTCTCAAGTCAAGTCCAAGTCAAGGACAACCAAGTCCAAGTCGAGCCCAAAGTCAATGATGTAGAACTCTTAAGTTAAGTCCAAGTTTTAACTTTGAATTTTCAAGTTAAAATGAAGTCATCTGTCCAACTTCAACTTATTGACGATAACGCCAAAATTCCACTACCTCTGCTCCGCTCCGGCACGAACTCCGCAGCAAAATCGGTCCCGTTGTAGTCAATCAGAGCTGTTCCACCACTGCGGCAGTGCGCTGCCCGCCACGGCAAAAATAGGATTGATTCTATCTTTGCCGGACGTCGGAGCACCTCCGCAGTCAATGGACAGAAATCACAACCGCCCAACAGGAAAGGGAGCAAGCACAACTTCCGTTATTTCACAATAAATCGGTAAACAAAAAGCGTTTTTTGTTTCATATGCACAGGTTTAACAACTTTTAACAACTATCAATGGTGGCTGAACTTTAAATGCACAAAAATAAGCCATAAATACAGTTTCCACTATCAAAGTAGTCACACTTTGTTGATCCAAACACTGCTGATCTCTCAACACAAATGATGGGCAGTTTAAACAGTTCATTTCGATGCTTCTCCCACACAACGGGTGTTTGGATCTAACTTCCGCGTTTATTGCTCGGACTGTATCGCAAGATCTCGAAAATCCAGCGCATGCCTGTTTGCGCACCTCAGGTCTCCGCACCGGAGCGGAGCCGTTGTAGAGCGGGTACCAGTAAAAATTGAGTTCGGAAGCGAGCAGCTGCGGAGGTGGACCGGAGCGGAGGTAGTGGAATTTTGGGGTAATAAATAAATTCCAGAAATAAAGCTTCTTAGAGCTTCATTTATTTGCTCAAACAAGCAGAAAATGCAACTGAAACTGATTATAAACAAAGTGCTGCTGGATTTAGCAGTACAAGGTCAAACCCAGAACGAAGAATGATTTATGATTTCTGTCCATGTCGGGCCATTTTTGTGCTAAAATGTCAAATATGCCCAAGTCATCATCAAGTCAACAGATGCAAGTTGATTCAAGTTGCAAGTCATTGGCATTCAAGTCCGAGTCCAGTTGTAAGTCTTTATAGATTTCATCAAGTCAAGTCAGAAGTCATTAAAATAATGACTCAAGTCCAAGTCATGTGACTCGATTCCAGACCTCTGTGTTTGAACAGATTAAAAGGCAGGTACAGCAGGGTTCTTTTATTTTAAAGATTTAAAGTCCATCGCTGTCAAACACACTAGCATTTGTCCCATCTACGTGGGGAGGGGTGAGCTGCAGACATGGCCGCGCTCTGTAACTATTTGGTGGTTTAACGCCCCCATCCAATCCCTTAAAGCTGAGTGTCAAGCAGGGAGACATTGTATGACCTGACTGGGATTTAAACTCAGTCCCAGGGCGGACGCTCCACCACTAGGCCACTGAGCTTAAAGCAATATTATGCAACATTGTCATAGTTTTAAATAATTTTCTTAAGCTAGTATGTGCTAAAATGACCCTTTTTAATGTTATTGAAATGTCACTCAGACCCCCACTGCCCTCTGTGACTAGAATATCACATTTGCAACTTCAGAGTGCCGGTTCAGTCTGTTGGACTTGACATATGGTGCTGCCATCTGTTTCCAGCATGTTGCCTGCATGTTTCAGGTCATGAAGAAAGCTGATTTGTTTGATTTAGTGATGAATCACTCCTTTAGACATGGATGTTGAATTTATGCACTCTTGTCTTGAGTTTCCACAAATAAAGTTATTGAAAAAAGCCGATCTTTCTTAAAAGAGGCAGAAGGGCCCATCAGAATCCATTAGCCTTTTAAAGGTGATTGATCCATCCAGGTCACAGTAATTCCTAAAATAAAGGGATGAACTTCTTTTGGATTTTTTGAAGATGTTTGGCTGGATACGAGGAAATATCCCAATTTTAATATTATTTGATTAACACCTCAAAACAGTCTGATGAACATCCAGATCCAGTCACGAACACTTTATGTTAATCCAATTATACCACAAACTAATATAATTCAGTAAATTATAAAACCCTTCAGTAGAAATGAGTCTGTTCAATGAAGCTGGCAGATTTGATCAAATCTTTACTTGGATTCAATTTCTCATTATCTCAAGACATCTTCATACACAATGGTTGTTTTAAAGGTGGGAACAAAAGCAAGATGAGAAAATAATCAGTTCAATCTGAAGAGGATGTCTTTCTAATTATACACCAGACTGACACTGCTGTCGTGGCCTTAGGAAACAGGTAATTTTCCTATTGGTTTGTTCAGTAAAAGCTGTGATGTGGCTAAGTGATACCTCAATACAAACTGATGAAGAGAATATTCTTTTTCAGAATGTTTCACATTAGCAGCACTTATATAAGACTTGGAACAATAAACCGCAGATTATTGGACTGAAGATATAGGTAGTTGTTGGCTGTATTACATTAGATTTGTGCCAATAGGATCAAGAAAAACACTTTGGTGAGCAAACAAATTTTAAGACATTGAGAGAAAAAACATTCGTTTCAAAAGAAAAACTTACGATCTGAATCAGATTCTTAAAATGATCAAGAAAAACACTTTGACGGTCAAACAAAAATTAAGAAATTGGCAGAACAAAAATATTGACTAAAGGAAAAAAACATGTTTCAAAAGTAAAACTTACTATCTGAATCAACTTCTTAAAATGAGTAGCAAAGTATGTTTCCTTTTTCTGTTTGCCTCTATGTGTTTTTGTTATCAATTTCCTTAGTTTCGTTCTCGCTGCTCACAGCTTTGCTCTCACTACCAGATTTCTGTCTGGCTTTCTCCTTTGCAATCCCTGAGTTTTTGGTTGCAATTCTGACACAACCCTTTCGGGTGGGTGGGACTTCTGAGAAGTCCTCTCCCATAGGACAGAGGTTTCTCTTGAGTGACAGCGCAGTGACCTGGAAGTGATGTAGCCTCCAAGACTTTTTTTTTTCTTGGTCAACAACATGAATTTTGAGCCCCAAACACATTATTTCTGTTGTCTGTGGTGTCTATTGAGGATCTAAAGTGAGTATTGATAATATATTTTATCTTTTCTTAGTTAATCAGTGAGTTAAGCCACTTTTTAAGTTGGTTTTAACCAGACGTTAGCTCACTAGCTAGCTGCTAAGCAAGCCATTGTGCTAGCCTCAGGACAATGGTCTATTGTTCCAGAGAGACGTATTAAAAATACATCTTAACATATTCATTACTGGTTTCATGGAATTAATTATTGCAGTTCATGTTAATAAGTTTGCTAATTTTTCAGGAACCTGTGGAACATCAGAAACTTTGCAGCTACTGGAGCTAACCTGTGTACTGCTAACGTGCTACAGAGGAAGCAGCAGAAAGCTGAGCTAACAGGCTGTTTTGCAGGTAAATACTCTTTTAGTGGAACTGCAGGATTTTTATGGTATAACTCAGACAGAATCTACATGAGCTATTGTGGGAAGACATTTAAACTACATTTACATATAGATACATGCATTTTTTATTTCATGTTACTTGGACGGGATAAACAAGTTCATAGTTCTGCCTGCTCCTTTTTCAGTGAAACGAATGGATTATATGATGTAACTCTGACTGAATAATTATCTAAGTGAGTATGTTTGATAATAAATTTCTTTCCAGTATACAGATCTGACATTTGTTTGTCAGAACAGGACAAATCAGATTCAATGTGCTTTCTGTCACGTGTTCTGTATTCTCCATCAAAAGAATGTTATCCAGGACAGATAATCAATAATGAGTTAAATACATGCTTTTAATTAATGTTTACATAAAATCTATATTTTTGTCAAAAAGCTTTTTTTTATTCTTTTCTTTTTTTTAGATTGAAAACTACTGCATTGCATTACAATGGAAGTGCTACACGGCCACATGCATCAACTGCAGCTGGTGAGCTAAGACACACCATAGTGTACACAAAGTACACTGCAGACAAGGGATGTAAGAAAATATCTATATGACAATATATCGCGATATATTTTCCCAGTGATATTGCATCAATATTCTCAAACTGTGTCTCTAAAATATTGATATGGCAATATATCGTGATATTTTTACCTGAGATATTACATCCATTTTCAAAAGCAGTGTATCTAATTTTTGGAAGAATTTACATGCAAACATTTGTGTATTTTCTTTGTTTTTGGTGCTTTTTAAATGTCGACCGCTAGTTGGCAGCAGTGTGCAATGGGATTGGTTTCCACCATTGAAATTTAAATCTCGCTATTATGGTTCAGATAACTCATGTTATACATGTTAAGTATCAGTTTGGACTGTTTATTGAATATTCCTACAATAAATTCAGTCAAAAATACACATCCCTACTGCAGACCAATCCCACCTCATGTAGTTCATAGGCTGTATAATAAACCCACAGTGATGGTTATGGATAAATATTTGTACTAATGGTAATCGTTTTCCATTGTTTCCAGTTGACAAGCAAATGGACCTATTGTTCAAGTCTGTGGTGGTGGATGCTCTACCATATCAGAAGTCTGTGGTGGTGGATGCTCTACCATTTCAGGAGTCTGTGGTGGTGGATGCTCTACCATATCAGGAGTCTGTGGTGGTGGATGCTCTACCATATCAGGAGTCTGTGGTTGTGGATGCTCTACCATATCAGCAGGGCCAGATTAACACTTTGTTGTACCCTGGGCAACAATATTCAAGGGCCCCATCATCACGACCCATGGATCACCATAATATGGTCACATACAGAATATATTACTGTAATATGCAATAAATATACTCAATACTTGAATGCCTGACATCACGTAACCCACTCAGGGTAACCTTTGACACACCTTGTGTGGACTGACCAATGAGGAGAGGGTCTTAACTTGAGGCCCTCTCTTCATTGGTCAGTCTGCATGAGACTGACTCTCAACCGCTCTCAACTGACGTTCAAAGTCATAGGCAGCGAAGCGTCTCTGTGCAGCACAAAAGCCCGGGTGGACAGTTTGTTTAATATAGGGTGACCATATTTCCATTTCCAAAAAAGAGGACAGGGGATCTGTGCCTATGACATCACACTATGGCCCATATGGGACCCACTTTTTTGTAAGAACTGAAATTAATATCAGATTCTGCCAATAAAATGGCTCTAAAACAATTCATATGTAAATATTTTGCATATTTTTTGCTAAATCTCATTTTTCTGCTTTAGTGCTGCAACAAGGTTTTATTAATAATAAATTATTATACCTTTTGTTTTACTACAGCATCGGTAAGCTTTCTGTGCACAGATTATTAAGGATGCTTGTTTCAGCTGTGAGATTAGACGATAGGATCAATGAAAAAATAAGTTGTCACACACTCCATGGAAACTTTCAGAGAATCCACAAATAGTGGCTTTCAGATGGTTTTGTTACTTTTTGCAAGTTTAGAAAAGAAGCAGATGAGACAGCATGTCTGATAATATTAGAACATGTCCATAATGTCTGAGGGTTTTTTACACTGTATAACTAACACTCCTGGAGAGGGTATGAATTACACAGAGGCTTCTGGGGAGCCCAGTTGTGTGTGTGTGTGTGTGTGTGTGTGTGTGTGTGTGTGTGGTGGTGGTGGTGGTGGTGGTGGGGGGGGGGGGGGGGTCATTTTGCCTTGGCCCCCAAAATGCCTTGAAACAGCCCTGGGTGTGTGACTGAGTTTTGAAGGTGATCTGAACTGTATCAGATGCATAAATTTACATGTGTGTAACTTATTGTTTTATACAGGTAAAAACGTGTAGTGGAGATAAATCTACCTACATTTTACTTTGTTTTCTTGTTTTTATTTAACTATTTCCTGTCCTGTCTGTCTCTCATCTTCCTGCATCTCCTCTAAAATCTCCAGAAAAACTGATGCCTGGATTCTTACTTTTTCACCTCATCAGTTACTTTTGAGCAGATCAAAGGGATATCCTGACCGCAAAGCGGAGAGCGCGTTTCGATGCTGCGTCAGTGAGGTGAAATCACCGCAGCACAGGTGATGAGCTGCGCAGCAGCAGAGCACTTCAGGCACAAATAAGACAGAAAGTAGAGAACATTTGTGGACAGGAACGATCGTGTGTTAATTATAGTTTTTTGGTTGCGCCACTTTGAGAATGGACCGTGCGTTGGACGCAGCTGCCTGGATCGCTGAACACCAGGCCCGGAGTGGCTAATCGGGAGGGTCTGGAGAATTCCCGGTGGGCCGCGCGATGTTTGGGCCGCATGGGGCCGGTGCTCTCGTTTTTGTTTTTTATCATTTTATTTTTATTTTTTGGTGCCGGTGTTCAGTCATGGCACTGAGGCCGCCGGGCTGATCACATACGCTCCTCCCGGCTGTCTCTGGCTGGCTCTACCTGCAGGCTGCAGCTCGTTTTTTCCCCAGTATGCGCCTGTGCGCACCACGTGACCACGCAGTTGACGGAAAGATGGAAAGTAGAAAGAGCAAGGGTGGCGCGGAGAAGGCAAGAATTAAAAAGAGGAAAGCGTTGGTAACAGATGCAGCCAAGGCCGGATTAACCATATGGGCAACTGGGCAATTGACCAGGGCCCACGAACTCTAAGGGGCCCAGGGCAGCAAGCGCACGAGCAAAATACTGTAGGCATGTCTGTAATCTCCCGCATTATATTAAACTAGGGTGACCGTATGTCCGGTTTTCCCCGGACATGTCCACTTTTCACTCTCTGTCCGGGCGTCCGGACTGCGGGTTCTTGTATTGATGAAAATGTCCGGCTTTTCATCCAGGAGCAGGGATCGAATTATGGGGGAGCTGTATATCTTACACATCCAGGGGAGCCGGAAACAAGTTTTCTATCTATATTACATCATTTATGGACTCTTCTGAGCAGAGAGCACAAAGAGCGGCACAGCGCGTTATTGCGCAGCGATCCAGGCAGCTGCGTCCAGCGCACGGTCCATTCTCAAAGTGGCGCAACCAAAAAACTATAATTAGCACACGATCGTTCATGTCCGCACATATTCTCTATTTTCTGTCTTATTTGTGCCTGAAGCGCTCTGCTGCTGCGCAGCTCATCACCTGTGCTGCGCGGTGCTGCGGTTATTTCACCTCACTGACGCAGCATCGAAAGGCGCACTCCGCTTTGCGGTCAGGAGATCCATTTGATCTGCTCAAAAGTAACTGATGAGGTGAAAAAGTAAGAATCCTGGCAGCAGTTTTTTCTGGAGAGTTTAGAGGAGACGCAGGAAGACGAGAGACAGACAGGACAGGAAATAGTTCAATAAAAACAAGAAAACAAAACTAAGTGTAAAGTAAAATGTAGGTAGATTTATCTCCACTACAAGTTTTTACCAGTATAAAACAATAAGTTATACACATGTCATAGTTATACATCTGATACAATTCAAATCACCTTCAAAACTCAGTCACACACCCAGGGCCGTTTCAAGACATTTTGGGGGCCAAGGCAAAATGACCCCCCCCCCCACCCACCCCATAACTGGGCTCCCCAGAAGCCTCTGTGTAATTGTTACCCTCTCCAGTATTGTTAGTTATCCAGTGTTTATAAAAGCTCCTCAGACATTACTGACATGTTCTAATATTATCAGATGAAATTGAAAGCCACTATTTGTGGATTCTCTGAAAGTTTCCATGGAGTGTGTGACAACTTATTTTATCATTGATCCTATCGTCTAATCTCACAGCTGAAACAAGCACCCTTAATAATCTGTGCACAGGAAGCGTACCGATGCTGTAGTAAAACAAAAGTTATAATAATTTATTATTATTAAAACCTTGTTGCAGCACTAAAGCAGAAAAATGAGATTTTGCAATACATATGCTAAATATTTACATATGAATTGTTTTAGAGCCCTTTTATTGGCAGAATCTGATATTAATTTAGTTCTTACAAGAAAATGGGTCCCAACGTGGTTTGTGTGGTGTTGCCATAGTGTGACGTCATAGGCACAGATCCCCTGTCCTCTTGTTTGGAAATGGAAATATGATCACCCTGTACTAAACAAACTGTCCACCCGGGCTTTTGTGCTGCACAGACGCTTCGCTGCCTATGACTAAACGTCAGTTGAGAGTCAGTCTCATGCAGACTGACCAATGAAGAGAGGGCCTCAAGTTAAGACCCTCTCCTCATTGGTCAGTCCACACAAGGTGGGTCAAAGGTTACCCTGAGCGGGTTACGTGATGTCAGGCATTCAAGCATTGAGTATATTTACTGCATATTACAGTAAAATATTCTGTATGTGACCATATTATGGTGATCCTTGGGTCGTGATGATGGGGCCCTTGAATATTGTTGCCCAGGGTACAACGAAGTCTTAATCTGGCCCTGGATGCAGCTAAATGTGCAAAAATGAGCACCTTTTTTTCTCAAACAAGCTTGCGGTCTTTAACTTCAAATGAAGATAAAACGGGTAAGGCAAGTCAAGATGTTAAACTTTACCGGCTGCAAATCACCATTCAAGTTAATTAAGCATCAATAATGAATTATATGGCATCATGACATAACGTTATGTAATATAATTTACAGTATGATGTGACTGATGCCACCAAACTGTCTTGTCAGAGTCAAACACAAGATCCTGTAGGCCTAATAAGCACCAGGCAGAAACCCACAATTCCAGAGCGGGCATGTACAGGTAGGATTACTTATTGAGTCAGTGAACTGAATATTATTAAAATTTATATGATGAAAACTATCCTGGCTCTATATGAAAGTGTCCTAAAATGCTAGATGATTCAGCATTGATCAGAAAGCATGTAAAAAAGGAAAATGAATGCTGAATTGTGACAATTTTCACACAATGTAGTGTCAGAAGAAGAGCCAGGAGCCAGCAGTGAGGGTATTGCTCCTGTTGGGATAGAAGGTGAGCCAACTCATGTGCAAACAAGCAAACATCAGTTTCATTATAATAATTTTAATGCCCAAATAATAGTAGTGACCTGATGTATTTCTGTTAGTAAATGCACAAAGCCCACAACAGATCGTTATTAGAATGAAAGTAAAATTAAATAAGCCTGCATATTTTGCCATAGAAAATATTTTAATTGGTTACAAAGATGTGTTTTCCATATCAAATGTGCCAAAGCTTTACAGATGATTATTTTAATTGTGTGCAGGTGAGTCTAGGGAAACTGGAAAAAGTGTGAAAGGGAGTGCTGAGTCATTTCATTTTAAAGGTTTGAAAATCTCAGAACAGCTGTTTGAACAGAATGTAGATTGCTATATTGTTAGAGAATGTGTTGTAAAGAACAATGTTGGAGATGTGCACTGATGTTCAAATAAACCTACATTGTAAAGCAACTCTTTCTTGCTTTACAAGAAAGAGTTGCTCTTTCTTGTAAAGCAACTCAACTCTTTCAACTCTTTCTTGCTTTACAATTACAAGGCTTTACCGAGTAGTGTGCTTTTGTAGACTATACATATAAAGTTCTAACATGATTTTAATAATAATTCGTTAAGTGGGCCGGTCTGGGGTCTGAAACTCCAGGGCTGAAAATGTGTCCCACTCCGGCCCTGCTGAACACCAACGATCATCGCTATAGAGCTCCGGACGTCACGTGACTCTCAGAGAGTAGACGCTCTCTGTGCTCTCTGCTCAAGAGTCCATGAATGATGTAATATAGCTAGGAAACGTTTTTTCCAGCTCCCCTGGATGTAGGACATCCAGCTCTCCCATAATTCGATCCCTGCTCCTGGATGAAGCCCCCCCACACACACACACACAGAGTGTGAAAAGTGGACATGTCCGGGGAAAAGAGGACGTATGGTCACCCTAGTTTAATATAAAGCGGGAGATTACAGATACAGTATTTTGCTCGTGCTCTTGCTGCCCTGGGCCTGGGGCCTGGGCCCTTTAGAGTTCGTGGGGCCCTGGGCAATTGCCCAGTTGCCCGTATGGTTAATCCGGCCTTGCATATCAGGAGTCTGTGGTGGTGGATGCTCTACCACAGGGATTTCCAAAGTGTGGTGCGCGCACCCCTGGGGGTGCGCGAGCTGCCGCTAGGGGGTGCGCGAGGTGAAAAGTGTAATGGCTGCGGAGCTCAGAGAAGTCTGTCATATGTCACCATTAGCGTAGAAACTCATTTGTGGGTGGGCCAAAGAAAAAGTAAGTGGGCACAATAAATGTAATTGAAAACAAGTATATTTTTGCGCGCGCGCGCGCGTGTCCTCCACAAGTGCCATAGCTTCATAATAACAATGCGCCGAGCTTCAGCACTCTGGCCTGCGCACGCCGATATGTTCCGTCGCGCGCGTGCGTGTCCTCCACATTTGCCCTAACTTCATAATAATAACAATGCGCCGAGCTTCAGCACTCTGGCCTGCGCACGCTGATATGTTCCGTATTTGATCATTTTTAATGGTGTTGGAGGAATCTGAAGGTGGTGAGTCATTCTGGCAGATTGTAATTAACACCTGTCTCATGCAGGTGTTCTGACATTGTAAACCTCACACACAGAACATTGTGGATGTAACAAAATAACAAGAAATGATTCCCATTCAGGCTATTGACAGCGCGCTGAAGATCTGAAGTTCAGAGTGCGTCTGTCAGAGGTCAGACGCGTTCCGGTGTCGGTACAGGATCTGCTCGGGTGCAAGATCGGCTCGGGGTCCGTCGACTGCCGATGACGTCTAAGTAGTTGATTGGCTGAACATGAACCTGACGGAATTACGTAATCACATTACGTTGTTATCACGTTACGTTGGTCCAGGCAAATCTTTCTATTGGAAAGATGGACAACTTTTACAAAGAAATCCATCATTACCTCTTTGAAAATACACTTTTAGCATAGAGCTGCATGTATATTAGGGCTGAACGATTAACTGCATGTGCAATTAAATTGCGATGTGACAAAAGGAGATTTTCTAATCTCAAAGGCTGCAATTTGGCAGCGAGTGGTTAGCGCAATGCTAATATACAAAAACCCATAGGAATGCTAATGCTAATATCGCCGATTACATTATTACAAATTATGAATTAGAAACGTGCCAAATGATTACATTTGGAGTCTAATAGAAAGTAAAAATACCATCAATCAAATAAGTACAGACAGATCCTGGCTTTAGTAAAGCCAGGAGATTTTATAATCTCAAAGGCTGCAATTTGGCAGCGAGTGGTTAGCGCAATGCTAATATACATGTAAAAACCCATAGGAATGCTAATGCTAATATCGCCGATTACATTATTGCAAATAATGAATTAGAAACGTGCCAAATGATTACATTTGGAGTCTAATAGAAAGTAAAAATACCATCAATCAAATAAGTACAGACAGGTATTTTAGTAAAGCCAGAAAACTTTTAACTCCAGAGTTTATGCTAGCAGCTATGAGCGTAACTGAACTACTCATGGACAAGACGTCAAAAACGCTAAACACAAAATACTTAAATAAACGGGACACACTTCTTTCCTGCAAATACAATTTCACAGGTGTTGCGAATACCTATGATTCTTCAAGGGATGTGCTCAAAGAGGAGTTCAACATTATGAATTAAATAGTGTTTTATTTTACAAATACCTTTATAAACACAAACTTACGTCTTAAGAAACATTATTTTAATAACGAAACTGCTAAATTCTTTCCAACAGTATAGATGTGTAGTGTATTTTGTCCGAGTGGGTTTGCCGTACTTTGACGTCATCGGCAGTCGAAGGACCCCGAGCCGATCTTGCACCCGAGCAGATACTGTACCGACACCGGCTGAACCACGGCTCACGGGTGCACAAGTGAGCACATCTGGGCTGGGCAGAAGTCATTTTACAACATTGGTTTAAATAGCGCGAGACGCGGTGACTTGAGCGGCCGTGCACGCGCGCGCACACACACACAGACTCAATAAGCGCACACGCTGCTTTAACTCCGGCGCGCTGTCAGACTGAAGGCAGAAATGAACGCTGCCTCCACCGTGATAAAAACTTTTAAGAGGTTATTTTTCATTCAAGGTCAAATTAAGATATTAGCTTCTGGGATGAGTCGGGTCCGCTCCAGCCAGTGACTCCTCATGAACCTGACCACATCTCATGTTACTGCAGCATTTGTTATTCCAGTCAGCGTGGCAGCGGATCACAGATTCAGCCACACCATAAAACAGCAATACGTCGGTCTGAGGTAAAAGTGAACATCATGGCTATATCTTGTCCCCTATTGACATTTGATTACGCACAAGTAGGTGATCAGCTCAGGTTTATGCAGAGCAGAAGGAAGGAGAGCGCTCTGGCCGCACAGGTTAAACGTTCCTACTTTAAGAAAACCGTTAAATTGCATTGTTTATGTGCTACCTGTGCACTCTAAATATTTATTTAAAATGAAATCAAAGAAAATTGTAATGGTATCGAATGTTTATTAATTACTATTTAAAAAAATGAAAGTGATGGGGAATTTTTTTAACCCTGTCTGTTTAGCTTGACATCTGATATATATAGAGGGAGGGAGAGAGAGAGAGAAAGCCATGCCCCGATGTGGGGGGTGCGTCAACATGGTCGGGACATAGAAGGGGGTGCGTGGCTAAATAAGTTTGGGAACCACTGCTCTACCATATCAGGAGTCTGTGGTGGTGGATGCTCTACCATATCAGGAGTCTGACTAAGTACCTGTGCCTGAACCTCTCTGTGTCTAGTTCAAAAGACCTGAAAGACCTGCTGTAAGCAGGCACAGGTTAAGATTTTAAAAGAACCTGCAAGGTGAGCAACACAACACAATATAAATCTTTATTATTATTTTACGCTGTACAGCTAGAATAAACTTGCATGCTCAGAAGCCACGTGTGATTACATCACCTACAGGTTTCCTGATGCTGAACTTCAGGCAGCTGCGTGTGACTGTACTCCCGTGGAACAACCGCCTGTGGGAGGAGTCGTCGTGTTGCTGTTAGGAGTTTGGATCTGAGTCCTGGGTTTGTGTTCCCTTTAATCTCTTCATTAGCCTTGCTAGTCACCATTGCAGAGCACCATGGAGAGGCTTACCTGAAAACTCTTCTCATGGGGCAGGCACATCCTCACACAACTGTAACCCCATCTTTGAATAAAAGCTGGTAGCTGGTCACTTATCAGTGTTTTAACCCATATCTAGCCCATGACTCTGCCGTTTTTTCAAACTTACGTTCTCATTTTCTATGCAGATCTATGGAAATTCTTTCCTTGAAGCTCCTGATCACACAAACATACTGGCAGTCGGCTTACCCACTACCTTCTGCTCACCCGCTTGCAACTCATGCTGTCATTCTCCCAGACTTCTGGTTGTTTCTCCACCATTCTGCTGTCTCCCGTCTGCGCTACAACTTCAGACCGTAAGTATCTAAACTTTTCCTTTTCTAAGTCTCTCTTTAGTCATTACTAACACTCAATTTTACCTCAGGGCCTTCTGATCTTTAAACACTAAAACCTGTGGCTCCATCTCCGTGGCGTTTCTCAGTTTCTGTAAGCTACCTGCACAGTCTTAAGAAAAACCTGACCTGTTTCCCTTACTAACCTCTGCTCTTCCTTGCAGGAGCTTCTGGTTCCTGATCTCCAGCAGTTACCTCTTCAGTCATCCGTCAAACATTTTAAAAAACAGTTTTTAGCTCATTTGTCTCCTGAGTTTCTCTGCATGAAGGTCAGGTTATTGCAAAAATCATGACATTAGCAATTATTTTGCACCACTCTGTTAAACAGCTGATATTAATTTCAAGTGTATCTTTAAAAATACATTGAATGTCAAAGTGAATGAAAGGCATCCATTCAGCTTTCAGTGTCTAATGCAGGATTTTATGGACAGGCACCAAAACAGGAAATTTATAAATTGAGATTTATTTACTAAATCAGAAAACCATAATAAAATACTAATGTTTAAATTCCAGAGGAGGGAGGAAGGCATTATAGCAGCATCCATATAGCTGGTATCCAGCACGTTTTAGTTGTTTCCCTGCTCCAACACACTTGAATCAGTGGTTGAATTACCTGTGCAGCAGCTCTACAGAAGCCTGTTAATTATCTGCTGACTGAAATCAGGTGTGTTGAAACAGAGTTAAAACTAAAACGTGCTGGATATCGGCCTTCCAGGCCCAGAAGTAAATACCCCTGCTTTATAGGCACAGAGAACTCCCATCAGGATCCTGGAGACGGCACAAGGAGATGACGACATGAGTGTGCCCTCCCAGATCACACCAACACCACCTGACCACACGGAGGCATGTGTCTGTAAGAAAGAAAAACTGGTCATGTATGAGATCTAAACAAAAACTACGAACAAAATCAATTTTACAGTTGTTCAACCTGCTGAGCATCGTCTCCCCAAAGAGCTGCTTAAAGGTGCAACTGGCTCAGAACCAGGGTGCTCCGTTATGCAGGTGGTCACCTCCTCCTGCTGACACCCGAGGATTACCTACAACAAAGGGAAAACTGATATCAATAAGGAAATAATTAAATCAGAGCTAAAAGTTTAATTTTAGTGTGACGTTTGAGATTGTATGAAATAAATGTGGACATTATGATTTTCTATTGTGGGGTCAGTTCCTTGGGCGTTTCTCTGCAGCAGCATTTTGTCTGGCTGACAATGAAGTAGAAAAGTCACCAGTTAAGGCAGAGTTAGACTATATTACTCCAGCTAAGCTAAAAGTAGCTAAACTAGACACTAGTCACCAGACTATAGTTACTATAGATTTTATTAGATTTAATGAAGGCATCAGCTGTGACATAGAAATTGGTGTGTGTTTATGTATGTATTAGCTAGGGATGCACCGATCAGGTTTTTTGCTGCCGATCACCGATACCGATATCAAAGAATGCTGATCACCGATACCGATCACGTGGATTGGCCAGAAATTTTCTACAACATTATAATGAGTGCTACAAACTACATAATCTGGGAATAAAGGAAATGTAACCTAATCTAAAATGGTCTGTATTAGGGTTGTCATGGTGTGAAAATTTAACCTCGCGGTTATTGTGACCAAAATTACCACTGTTTTCGGTATTATTGCGGTATTTTTTTTAAACGTGCTACATTTTCACACAATTAAATAAACCCTGTATGTCAGGAAATATTGTCCTCAGTTTGTGTCTAAATTTTGCCTAAAATGTGTTATTTTGTAATTATGTTGTTTAATTGTTTACATTTTTTCCCTTTAGTCTTAAAATACCAATATTTGCCCATAACTTCTTATTTTATGTCTGTTTGATGTCATCATTTAAAAATATTAGATCAGATGATACTCAGTACTCAAGTAGCCTTCTAATCGGATACTTTTTTTTTTTTACCCTTACTTGAGTAATCCGTATATCAGGAGAATATTGTCCTCGGTTTGTGTCCTTCCAGTGAGCTTTGCAGATGTGGGGAAATGTCATCAGGCAGTAATCATTGTTAAATTCATAATTATTCTCGGAGAGAGACCAACTCTTATCTGCCCCTGGGAGCCCCGTAATGCATAGCGTCATGTCAACATGGCGGTGTCCGCGACACGGTTTATATGCAGGTAGCGGCGCTGCGGCTGCTTTATATAGCGACTTGTTGCATTCTCTCTCAACCCAAATCCTCGGATCACGCATTTTAGCTAAAACGCTAACGTTAGCTTGCCTTGCGTTGACTGTAGAGTTGTGGGTGATGGTCACGCAGATGTGTCATGAGATTTGAAGCGTTGCTGCCTTTCACAGACACTTTTTCAGCTCGTGCTGCAAACAGGATAGCCGTCTTCTATAAACGCCCTCGGCATTCTTCAAATATCTAAAATATGCCCGTACTTCCCACTTTGTCTTCGTTGAGGGATAATAAATGTCCTGAGAGCTGCCGTCTCCTCCTTTGACCATTATTTCAGCTTTAGCTTCAAGAAAGTTTTGTTGTAAACAAAGCGTGCATGTGCCGCCGGCAACTTCAGCAGATGATACGGTGGCTGGTAAGGGACACCGCGCCTACACCGCAGCCACGGTAAACCCACCAAGATAATATAGTTTTTTAAAAAACAAGATGGTTATTATTATTGTCAACTTCTTTTTTTTTACCGGGGTTTACCGCTACACTGGTTACCGTGACAACCCTACCTGATCGGTTTGCTTTGATCTATTTTGAAAATTCCGATCAAAACCGATAGGGGCGCTATCGGCCGATTACGATCACATGCCGATCCATCGGTGCATCCCTAGTATTAGGTGTGACAGAAAAAGAAGAGGGTTGTAATTATTTCGATGCCAAACAAGCTTGTAAAATAAAAATGCTTTTGGTGCATTACCTAGATCAGTGCTTCCCAACTATCTCTAACCAGTACCTGTCACATTATTGCTCCCCTGTGCCTTGAGTTTTTCCTTAATTGTGTCCACCTGCCTCTTGTTATCTGATTACCCATCCCAGTGTGTATATAAGCCTTGTGTGTTGCTTGTGGTTTTGTCGGTTCGTACTCGTTACATGTCAGTTTATGTTCACATCTGTCTACCCTGTCGTGTCTGCACTCCTAACCATTAAAAGGAACCAAATGTCTGCTGCTGTCTGGCCTGGGTTGATTTACCTGCCTGAAGGATCCGCTCTTCCTCCCTCACCTTCCCTCCACATCGTGACAGTACCTCACAAAATATATCATTTTGTTTTATCCATTGTTTAAATTTTGTGTCCCACTTCCTCAGGTGCTTATGTGACATCTGTTTCACTTCAGAGATGTAAAAGTGGTATCAAATGTACTGTTCATACAAACTTAAGTAATAAAAACATCAGAGATGGATCTGATTTAGGGTGACAGAAAGCACATTGAATCTGATTTGTCCTGTTCTGACAAACAAATATCAGATCTGTATACTGATGAGAAATTTTTATCAAACATACTCACTTAGATAATTATTCAGTCAGAGTTACATCATATAATCCATTCGTTTCACTGAAAAAGGAGCAGAACTATGAACTTGTTTAGCCTGTCCAAGTACATGGAATAAAAAATACATGTATCTGTATGTAAATGTAGTTTAAATGTCTTCCCACAATAGCTCATGTAGATTCTGTCTGAGTTATACCATAAAAATCCTGCAGTTCCACTGAAAGAGTATTTACCTGCAAAACAGCCTGTTAGCTCAGCTTTCTGCTGCTTCCTCTGTAGCACGTTAGCAGTACACAGGTTAGCTCCAGTAGCTGCAAAGTCTCTGATGTTCCACAGGTTCCTGAAAAATTAGCAAACTTATTAACATAAACTGCAATAATTAATTCCATGAAACCAGTAAAGAATATGTTAAGATGTGTTTTTAATACGTCTCTCTGGAACAATAGACCATTGTCCTGAGGCTAGCACAATGGCTTGCTTAGCAGCTAGCTAGTGAGCTAACATCTGGTTAAAACCAACTTAAAAAGTGGCTTAACTTACAGATTAACTAAGAAAAGAAAAAATATATTATCAATACTCACTTTAGATCCTCAATAGACACCACCGACAGCAGAAATAATGTGTTTGGGGCTGAAAATTCATGTTGTTGACCAAGAAAAAAAAAAGTCTTGGAGGCTACATCACTTCCAGGTCACTGAACTGTCACTCAAGAGAAACCTCTGTCCTATGGGAGAGGACTTCTCAGAAGTCCCACCCACCCGAAAGGGTTGTGTCAGAATTGCAACCAAAAACTCAGGGATTGCAAAGGAGAAAGCCAGACAGTGTAAGTGCAAATCTAGTAGTGAAAGCAAAGCTGTGAGCAGCGAGAACAAAACTAAGGAAACTGATAACAAAAACACACAGAGGCAAACAGAAAAAGGAAACATACTTTGTTACTCAATTTAAGAAGTTGATTCAGATTGTAAGTTTTACTTTTGAAACATGTTTTTTTTCCTTTAGTCAATATTTTTGTTCTGTCAATTTCTTAATTTTTGTTTAACCGTCAAAGTGTTTTTCTTGATCATTTTAAGGATCTGATTCAGTCATAAGTTTTTCTTTTGAAACAAATGTTTTTTCTCTCAATGTCTTAAAATTCGTTTGCTCTCCAAAGTGTTTTTCTTGATCCTATTGGCACAAATCTAATCCCATACGGCTGCTGCATTCATCGCTCCCATATACTTTTATTTATTTATTTATTCCGTGTCCTGTCTGGCTGTGAAGTAAACAGAATTGATGTCTGAATGCTGGTAACAAGCCTTACAGATTTACTCCCAGGTGGAGCACCAAAGCTTCTGCTTTTAATGTCATGCCTGATATTTAAAACTTTATTGTTGTTGTTTTTGAATGCTTTGTAATTCCGACCAGACACGGAGTCAGAGGTGAAAGAGAAAGGAAAAGACAAAAGGTGGGGAGAGAGGGGGGAAGGGGGTGGGGTTCCACAAAAATAAACGATAATGAACAAGAGTCTCCTTCTAGACCTGCAGAAAGAGAAAGAATAGAAAAAAAGGGACACACAACAATACATCAGGAGCAAGCTAACACTGCGTCAACCTGATGATGAAATATAAAATCAACATTGTTTAACTGAACACGATAATAAATCATAGTGCATTTAGTGGCAACGACAGCCTTAAGACATGTGTTGAACGTGCCCAAGCCCATACTTTTGAGAGCAATATGTGAGCGCCTGTGTGTGTACACGCGCTTGTTTATGTAAGGTTTCTCTATAGGAGCGTCCAATAGAGAGTGTGAGGGACCACAGATCCACCCCCCAAAGACACGTAGGAGACGGGGGGAGCTCCAAGTCCCAGAGATCCAGGCGCTGCCCTAGAACACAGGAACCCCAAGGAGACTGCAACCAGAAAGGCCCCCGCCCCCCCTCGAGAGGCACAGAGGATCGCCCCGGGGGGCCACAACCAGCAGCCGGCAGAGTCCCAGAAGATATCAGCGGCAGGCCCGCCCGTAGCCTCCCATCCCCTAGCCGGCCGAGCCCGGGACCCAGCGACCCGGGATCCAGGAGCGACCACCCCCGCCGGGGACCCAGCAGAGCCCAGGAACCCAGACCCCACCAGGCAGCCACCGGGATTGATCAGGCAGAATCCAAAAATCTTAAATCCCCTGACCCGGGAGCCACGAACACTCAGGCAGACCAAGGCACCACACCTCACACCTGGTGTGGCAGGGGGAGGGGAGACGAAGATCTAAATAATCAAAAGAAGTCCCAGGAGCGGGAAGGAGTCAAAGGCCCCACCTGACACATACAGTCATACACAAACACAGTCACACACTCCCTCCCTCATGCTCACACATGCACATACAACCAAAGACTTACAAAAATGCATGCCAGACACCCACTCATGCTCCCCATACACACCCTATTCACTCTGGTCCCAGTACTGCTGCACATGGGTTACAACCATCACCGGTTACCAGAGTTTGACCCTTTCTGCTGGGGTGCTGATGAGCAGGCTCCCCCGCCCAACGCTGAGCACAGCAACCCACCACCCCAGACCCCAACCAGATGGCCAGATCTCCCTCCTAGCCTCCAGCCCCAGGTAGCCAAGCAACAACAGAGGTGTGCTAAGACCCCTAGTCTCCCTCCGCCTGCTCCAATATAGTGTTGTGTGTTAATGAGGTGTATTCCATGGCTGTGGTGAGCGGGCAGTGCGGGCATTGTCTGGCCTATGCCAGCTGATGCCACCGCACCACCCCACTTGCACCCTCAGCCCTCGGTGTCTAAGTGCAGTTTAAAATTGGAAGTGGGCACAGGCACTTGGGAGGAGGCTGAGAAATCCCCCTGCCAAGTGCCGTTGGATGTGCTCACTCCCAAGGCCCTAAGTGTGTGTTTGCGTGGAATGTCTTCGGTGGATGTGTATAAGGTGCAAATGAAATTGGGGGGCAGGTTGCCACAGGAATGCGGAAATGGAGTCCATACACGCACTCCCTGACTTGTCCACCCCCCAATGTCCTATGTGTGTTTGTGTGATGATGTGAGAGAGCAGGAGGAGAAAAATGTGCGGGGATGGGGAGGAATGGCTGGTTGGGCTTAGCCCTCCAGGGAGCCAGCTCCCTCACTGGCCCCAATAGGCACCTCTGTTGTCAAATTGCCACCCAGGGCCCCAGACCCCAGCCCATCCTGCCAGGGCCCAAAGCAGCAGCACCGCAGAGCCTCACGGAGTCCGAGGGCACCAACCCAGCCCCACCCCAGCAGAATATCTATGCCCATCCCTGCATTTGCACAACTTCCAGAATATATAAGACATAGGACATCCAGGTAAGGTTGGGTCCTCCCCCTCCTGGACCTCCCCCTCCCCTGTGATGAGACAGCAGTGGAGCCAAGGTCTACCCGAGGCCCCTGAACCCGGGCCAGGCACTGCTGCATGTGCCTGCCTTCTTCCCGGCAGCATACATGTCAGGACCCGACCCCCAAGGCCCCGCCCAGATCACCACACGGGGCCGGCCACCCCCACACCCTGAGCCCCCAGGCCCCCACTCAGATCCGCCCAGGGGCAATGTAGCTGCCAGGCAGTGACCCATGGCCGCTGCCAAGACCTCCAAGGGGCCCCACTCACAACCGCCAGTAGTCCACCCCCCGAGGCAACCCAAGCACCTCCAGAGGGGGGCAAGGGCCCCCCTGTCCCAGACACCCCCAGTGAACCCACCTCCAGGGAACATCCGGATACTCCAAACTCAGACCCCCCCCCCCCCCCCCCCCCATCCACATCATCCCGCAGGACAATATCAACGGTCCCCCATCATCGCTATGTGATGGAACCGATCAAAGGAGCTCAGAGAGATTGATTTGAAGTGGAAGCAGAGGCTGTATCAAGTGTAATATGATCTAACAAAAGATTTCTATACTGGTTAATGCAGAGAGTTTCTCTATTTTCCCAATTCAAGAGGATAGTTTTCTTAGCGATGCATATGGCAGTCAGAACCACGTGAACCAAAGATGTTTCAATCGGGACATCGTCCAGGTTTCCCAGTAAACAAAGAGAGGGGGAAGTTGGGATACGACATTTCAGACATTTTGACAGATCCATATACTTTTAAATAGAATCCCGTTTTCTAATCAGTCCCTGCTGTGATACCACTAAACAAAAACGTCAAATTAAGGTGGGATAAACTGGATAATTAGTGCAAAAGATGACACATACTTAACAATTAATGTGACATTTCTTAGGCTTCACTAGAAACTCTACTGCTGTGTTTTTCCTGCTAAGAACAAAACAGGGAAAAGAAAACTGGAGATGAACCACTGAGATTGAGTAGAAGGACGCAGCAAGCAGTCTTTATACCGATAAATCAAGTTTAATCTAAGCTGTGCAGGTGCATGCACAAGCACAGATTTGCTCAATAGTTTAATGTTATCAAGCCACAGCAGCAAACTCACAGTTTTGAAAGAACTCCATATAGAACCTGAATTACTCTGATTGCTGCAAACGTCATCTGTGATAAGGAAAGTCTTGCAGCAAAGTAGTGTTTGTGGGCCAATACGACTAGACGAGATCATGGAACAAAGAGCGAGATATGAATCACATTGAGCTACAACTACTGAATGAGGAACAAATAACAGCAGCCATTCACAACATTGCTGTTGTGAGATGAATGCAGGACTGGACGAGCAGTTGGTGCACCATGGCTTGTTAAACAACTCAAATTGATGTAAAACTGCAGCAAAAAGAGAAAGAAGCTGGCCTAGGAGAGAAATCTGTTGTTAAATAAGTTACAATGTTTATTGTTTCTTGCATCCTCACTCATATGTGAGGCCATTAAGATGACGCAGATCAAAAGCAAATTCCCTCAAAATAGAATTGAAAATTTGTGTCAAATTACATCTGCATTCTTGGAAAAGGCCAAGAACCCAACACATTCTCACACCCGAAGTGTTGAAAAATGAAGATGGGTGACTAAGTGTTTGTTTCTGACGCGTTGAGAGCCCCAGCGCCTTGGGAGGCGACACACTATGCTAGAGTGTCGTTTTCTGACTGCCGCAGTAAAATGGAGATTTCACCGAATTGTGACCTTAACCCTACGACTAGGTGAAAACAAGCGGGGCTCTAATATATTACTATGACTCACTCTGATTGGTTAAGGGTCAAACAAAGGCGTGTCATTCGCCTGAGGTAAGTTCCCTTTTCATTCAGAGGCAAAATTTCAACAGCAGAGCTGTGAATCGTGATAAAAAGGTCTCTCAAAAATGACAGACCGTCAGATGTGTAGATCGTAAAACGGTCTAAAATCGTCATATCGCCCAGCCCTAGATGTGGGTGAGGGGAAGGTTAAATAGCAAGAGGTTAGAGGTTAAATGTTGGTTAAATGTGCATTTTACCGTGGGCGTCAGAAACATACGCTCTGCCACAGGGCGTCGGAAACAAACGCTTGGTCACCCAGCGTCATTTTTCGACGCTTCTAGTGTGAGAATGCAACACGTTAGTGTGTTGCAACAACACAAAGGTCTGACCCCTTGCTACGGGCTCCACCTCCCGAGTCACAGAAAGCTGGTAAGGTTCCAGAAACAACTATGAACCAAATCCCCTCCCACAGCTTTGTTATCTGTAACTATCTGGAAAGACATCAAGGGCCGTTTAAGAGAACTATCCTGTCCCTGTCAAATCAAAGTGAGGACATTCTCTGGACATAGATTTTTATCCTGATCAGTGGCCTAATGTTTGGAATTTTTATTCCTATTTCACACTGGGGAAGACCCATGTGGCAGACCCAGATCTTACTGGAGGAATGATAATTCTCTCTGGGAA